AAACGGGGCCCCAGTTTCGACAACCACCCGTTCGAGGTCTGGTGCGTTGTGGCTGCCTGCACTGCCGGCGAACGTTGAAGATAAGTCTTCTCCGACCGGTGATCTAGCTGTAGGATTCAGAGGTCTAGGGTTTAGATTTAGGGTTAAGGGTTTAGTGTTTATATTTAGAGTCAGAGCTTACGGGGGGGGGGGGGGGGGGCGGCGCAGATCGTACTTGGGGTTTAGGCTTCGCCGTGGAGTATTCCGTTTCATTGTATTTAGGTTCCACAGTCTTGTGCCGAGTCTCTCTGTAAAGCCTGACGTAAAAGAGGGATCGGTCCCAAAATATAAACCTCTTGTCCACATCTAATTCTACCCCACATAGATTCCCCAGCACCCTTACTCGAAAGCTGCAAGATTGTTCTGAAGCATCCCACTTGTCCTCCTGCAAGGATTCCCTATGAAGGCCCCTTAAAGGTCGCAATAAAAGCTGCTAGGGAGAGATGCTACACATCCGGGTTTAGTGAAGAAGTTATATGCGGTCTGCGACAACGTCCTCGAAGAGATGTCTGTGCAGACCGCCACGGGCAGTGAGCATCTGGGTGTGATGCATCTCTTGATCACCCATAAATGTGCGAAACTGGGCTGCTTTGCCATGTGCCGTCAGCCTGGCACCACCTTTGCGCTACGTGATCGCCTGGTGTTTAACAAGAGCGACCTCCTGGACGTTGACGAGACGCACAGTTACAGAGCTGCTCTGCGTAGTCGTCTGTCCTACACAGCACCTTGCCAAAGTCCTAGAACTGTTCTTGCCCAGCCTTGCACTTTGCAAGTGGGTCACATGTGGACTCGGATCGAGTGTTGTGTGCTGAGTCCGGCTTTCCTATGCAAAGGTACTCTCCGAAAGGTTCAGGGCTTGGGGTGATTATCGTCGCAGCAGGAATCTGAGCATCGAGCAGATCGAAATCACAGCCCGTCAAACCCTGAAAACCAGCACAGTAGAAAGGCCACGTGAACAGGAGCCAAGATTAAGTGGAAGTAACAAGTGCCTCCTGGCTGCCAGGGTCTGGCGATTCTCAGATAACGTTCAGTGTGCGGCTCAGTGGCTCGGGGAAGCTCTCCCGGGGGAGCAGGGACAGGTCCTAGATGTACTCTCCGATGTAGCTCCGTTGTGGTTGCCTTGCTTACTATGCGCAGTCCTACTCAAACAGCCGGTGGCTTAACAAACAAGACACAGAGAGCCCAATACCCCTTAATTAAGGAATGAATATACCTTATATCATAGCCTTCATATGATGATTTAAGGTCTATTCCTTAATTAAGGGGTATTGGGATCTCTGGGGAACTGCATTGGAAAGTCTGGCGGAAGCCTATAGCCGACTCTGTTGCAATTGGAGAGATCCATGGCCAAAACCGCAAACCCCAAACACCAAACCCTAAACCCTAAACCCTAAACCCTAAACCCTAAACCCTAAACCCTAAACCCTAAACCCTAAACCCTAAACCCTAAACCCAAACCCTAGCCCTCCCTGTATAGTCTCCATTGTAGTTCCTTTTTGGGGTTACCGTTTAGGATCCTTAATATAGAGTTGGTTAAACCCCCAAAAAGGGAACTACCATGGAGACTATAGGTAGACTCCGAGCCCCGATCCCTAAATCCCAAGCCGGGGGTCTGAATCCTTAAGCCACAACCACACCCCAAACCCTTATCCGGAAACCTCGAGAAGTTCGTAAACCCCAAAACTCTGCAAACCCTAAACTGGGTCCTAGCTGGATACAGTTTCACATTTTTGGTATAGTAATTTCCAGTCAGGAGTAAAAATGATCATGTTTATTATAGCCCCAACAGGGGGATCAGTTAACGTGCAGCCCTGAGCCCAAAATTCCTAAATCCTAATGGCCCCGATCCCGAGACCCTACCTGGAGGGTCGGGGACTTAGCAAGTAGGTAATAAGTAGACTGATACGTACCCCAAAAGGGACCCGAAGTGGGGCTATGATACTTATAAGCCTATAAAGTAACTACTTACTAAGTCTCCCCGACCCTCCAAATAAACCCACCCTCAACCTTCAACCCTAAACCCTAAAGCCTAAACCCTAACCCTAAACCCCAAACCCTAAGCCTTAACCCTCAAACCGAAAAGTCCGACACTCCACACCTCGAGCAGCCAGTTTCAGAGGCAGCCGGGCTTCCAGGGAGAGCTACAGAGGGTTTCAGGGTTTTGGGTTTTGGGCGCTTTAGGGGTTTAGGGGTTTACGGTTTAGGTGTCATGGTTTAGGGTTTGGGGCTTGAGGTGTTTAGGAGTTTAGAGTTTAGGGTTTAAGGTTTGGGGCTCTATAGGGTTTAGGGTTTCATGATTTTGGGTTTGGGGCTTTAAGGGTTTAGGAGTTTAGGGTCTAGGGTTTGGGCTTTGGGGCTTTGGGTGTTTAGGAATTTTGGGTTTGAGGCTTTAGGGTTCGGGGCATTCGGCGTCTAGGAGTTTATTGTTTGGGGCCTCAGGGTTTGGGTTTATGACTTGGACGCATAATATGGTGTTCTATGTGTAGGTTCTTCTGGGGTCTTGTCCCCTAAACCCTAAACCCTAAACCCTAAACCGTTAGGGTTTCGGGGTGAGACAAGCGATTCCCTCCAGAGACCTACCGGTTTGTTGAGGCCGAGAGGCAGGACATGTGTCGGCTTTATGTGCCAAGTGCTGGAAGCGCCGTATCGCGTGCATCCTTTTTCCTAAACACCCGAAAGCCTAAACCATAAACACCCTAAACCCTAAACCCTAAACCCTAAACCCTAAACCCTGAACACCTCAAGCCATGAACCCTCATTCCTAAGAGGTATGCGCTGAAGCTCATCGGACCTCAAACCGGAAACTGCCCTGTGAGAAGATCCCTCAAAACATGTGGGTGGTTGTCAAAATTAGGGTCCCTTTTTGGGTCCTTCTTATA